TTTAATGCAGAAAAGCAACCCATTGGTCCAGACCTGAAACGTCAGCTTTCCTGCTCCTCTGATGCTGCTTGGCCTGCTGTGTTCATCCAGCTCTACACCTTGTTATCTCAGATTCTCCAGCATCGGCAGTTCCCACTAACTCTCCCCCATTAAGATTCACTGTGCATTGACCCAAACAAGGCTGTGCAGCAGGACTATATTTAAACTACAATAAAGACCATCTGGTATCCTGCCAGATGCGTATACATGAAGTGATTGACAAATGAGAATTTGGCAATGCAATGAAGATGGTAAACACATATTTCACTCTGTTAATTTCTTTGAAAACATCAATGGCATTAAACCATTTGAAATGTTTGCAAAATTTCAAATAATCTGTCCTTTTGGAAATGATGATTTGTTATCGGGCTAAGATTGACACTGCGGCAAAAATCAATATACTATCCCTGCAAAATCTAAAAAAACTATTGACAACAACCATGGGAAGAAGCCATGATGTACCTACAAATGTAAGACTTTCAGCGTACAAATGTTCACAATCCCAGGTTCAGGACCAATTGTACTGGAGTGTAATCCACCAGGACATTGCAGATGTTCCATTTTGTACACACTGCTGGATCAGTAATTGCAGGAAACCAGCAAGCTGTGACCTCGCATGAGTCATAGTCCATTGACCTAATCAAAGATCAGAAACACAACTGAAACTGATGGTGAAGATTCACAAAACGCTTGCAGAACTGAATATGAAAGAAGATTGGAACAGTTCAGTTTCTGCTGAATTAACCATTCTAAAATCTGAGCTTTCTGCTGTAGAGATAAAAATGAAAATTCGAGCTGAAGGAGTTTAACAATTATTTCAAGAAAAATCCAAATTTGAAAATATCATCTTTGAGATTATTAAATCTTTAGAAAATACCTTCACTCAACTCACAAAAACGGAAAAAGGTCTGAAACAACATTGGTAAAAGGAGAGAAGAGTTTGAAGTTTTTGTCTTGCACTGATCAGAAATAGCATGTAAGAAACAGATGTGAAAAAGCATTCACCAATTTATACAGCACAAGAAGAAGGTGATGATTGGTTGGCCAATTATAGACAGCAGGTAGTTAACTGTCAATCTTCATTCTCAGACCAAGCAGGTAAATTCTGATTGGGCTGGGTGTTGCCATGGGACCACAGCAGAGATTGGTAGTGTTCAAAAACCTTTTTGCCATGAAAATGGTGCAATGTATGTAGGAATTCCTTTTGCCTCAATAAAACATGGACCTGTGTCTTCAAATGTGTCCTGGTCCCAAAAGCTTTAGCTACTTGACTTTTCTCAGCAATGTTTCAGTTTTGTATTACCAATCATATTTTTAGATCTGAAAGAGAATGAAAGGAAGCAGGATGAACCATAGCTCTGTATCATTAATCCAATGACAAGATTTACTGGTTTACAGAAAGATCTAGAGCAACTTGCATATAAAATAGACCAGACTCAGCAGGAACAGCTACAGAAACATCACTTGAGCTCAAAGTTATGCTAGAGATAATGACAGACCTGCAAAAACAACTGAAATATACAGTACACACAACAAAAAGATACAAATCATTCATGAGACAGTTCTTTCATAAATAAATAATTTAGGGGAGGAGACAGCCTAGGTTTTTATTGCTGGACTGTTAATCCAGAGAACCGGGTAATGTTCTGAGGACCCGGGTTTGAATCTAGCCAAAGCAGATGGTGGAATTTGAATTCAATAAATGTCTGGAATTAAGAGCCTACTTATGACCATGAATCAATTGTCAATTGTTGGAAAAACCCATCTGGTTCACTAATGTCCTTTAGGGAAGGAAATTGCAATCCTTATCTGGTCTGGCCTACATGTGACTCCAGACCTGCAGAAATGTGGTTGACTCTTAGCTGCCCTCTGGGCAATTAGGGATCACCAAGAAAAGCTGTTCTAGCCAGCGATGCCCTCAAGCTGTGAGGGAATTTTTTAAAAATCAGCAATTTTGCTACAGTGAAAAATCTCAAGTGGGCCGTAGGGGAAACCAATCAGTCACAAACAGCAAATGGAAGAGGTCAAAGAAAATTAACAAGGACAAGAAAAACTGTTGAAGAGGCCAGACTGTTATTATAGCTACTTATGAAGGAAAAAAATTATACTGGACCAATGGAAAGCTAAAACTTTGATAGAATTGGAAGGATCTAGAGCTGAAAACCAGAAACATTAAAATAAGCTGAAAGCTCTTAAGGAACAAACCGGTAAATGCAAAATGATTTGAACCACACTAAATAACTTGAGAAATGAGATCAGTCATGGCTCATCTGAAGAATATTCTGCCTGTATGTATCAGGATATGCAAATTCTGGGTCATTATTAACATCCCTCACAGACGAGGATGACTCTGTTCCACTCTCAGGGTGAGTCCGTAGGTGGCTAATAGACTGATGTGGTTCCCGCAGGCTCTGTTACACACTGGGACAGAAGGTGGTCATTGGGAAGGGGTGGATGGGACGTTGGTGTGGCAGTGCACACTTTACACGGTTTTCGCTTGTCTTCCACATTTTCCCAAGAGCAAGTCTCGAAGTGCTCAATACCTTCAAGTCCCCTACGGTAGCTACAGGGAACCTCCCTGCTGTCGACGTTGGAAAAGTTACTACCAAGGTCCTCCTCAACCATCTCCTCCCAGAATCACAACGGGCCTTTCAGCCACGGAGGGGGCACAACGGACATGATTTTCACTGCGTGACAGCTGCAGAAGAAATGCACACAAAAGAAAGTCCAGAACAGCAACTGCAATACATGAAAACCTTCACAACACAAACGGGAACAACAGATGAGATTGCCATGACAATCAATTAGAATTAGAATTAAGTTTATTGTCCCGTGTACTCAAGTACAGAGATACAGGAGTATTGTAAAAAGTATACAAAGTCACATTCGCAGTGCCATCTGAGGTACAAATGTATCTAGGTACAAAATCTTAGGGTCAAAGTAGGGGAGGCGTTGGCCCAGTGGTATTATCACTAGACTGTTAATCCAGAGACCCAGATAATGTCCTGGGGACCCAGGTTCGAATCCTGCCATCGCAGATGGTGGAATTTGAATTCAATAAAATATCTGGAATTAAGAGTCTAATGATGGCCATCCATGAATGGATTGTTGGGGAAAAACCCATCTGAGTCACTAATGCTCTTCAGGAAGGAAACTACCATTCTTACCTGGTCTGGCCTACACGTGACTCCAGACCCACAGCAATGTGGTTGACTCTGACCTGCCCTTTGGGCAATAAATGCTGCCTAGCCAGCAACAACCTCATCCTGTGAATGAATAATAAAAAATAGTTAAACATTACAGTAGTTCTTAGTGTAAAGTTAAAAAATAAAGAATTACGGTCTGTAGTGATTGTAATGAGGTCAGCTAGGCGGACCTCATACTGTATAAGTTCCCTGATTGACGCTGTTAATCTGATCCAATCAGGGAGCCCTGACTGACAGTAAAAACAGGAGTGTCAGAATATTCCGTTCAGTCTGAGAGCTGGATCAGTGTCATGTACTATGGATGTGTAAATAAAGGGTGACTCGGTGATGGGATACTGGCCTTTGTGGAATTATTTCACAGTCCTTCTTTCACCATGGGCCTGCAGATGCTTCATGTTGGGCTATCCCACGAGAGCTTGCTTTCCCCCACGCTGGGACAAAATCTCCATCACACAAACTTAGCAAATTATTTCTAAATTATGGAGACTCATTTGTAACTGTAAATAATTGGCCGGTCTTCATAAAAAGGTAGGCAAAGCTGTATGCGTGCCTTGCCTTTAAGAGATTTCACCTTGAAGATCACCATGTGTAGTGTGGACCCACTGTTGTAACTCTGCCTAGCAATCTGTACAATCTGTACACCCAGAAATCAGTTGGTTTTCAGTAATACCTGCACAGCTCATAATGGGCCTCACTGGACCCACAGAGTTCATCAGTCACTGATGATTATTAGACCATCATCACTAACATGACAGTGACCACATACTTACAACTGAGGGCCAATAAGTATCGCACAAACATTGGCAATTTCTTCCTTACTGTGCCCACCACTTTGAAATTCTCTCCATTTTCTATCTACAGCGTCAGCCGTGATCTGTTCACCTTTGAGTCATTCAAGTGCCTTTCCAGAGTTTGGGCAATATTGAAGATGTGTCATCTTACAAATGAGACATTGTGCTGAGGCCTCACTTAACTTGTTGTTTGTCGGAGCTTACTGTGAACAAACTGGCTCCCTCTTCAAAACATCTTTCACTGGCTGCTGTGGTAGATATTTTTAGTCAATCTGATCAGAGATGACATAACACACCTCTGGAACAGGCGGGACTTGAACCTGGGCCTCCTGGGCCAGACATAGGGACTCTATCACTCTACCACAGGAACTCCTTTGACTGCTGTTATATATGGTCCTGAAGGGGTTAATGTTTGCCTGAATGCTGTAAGCACCGCCCACAGTGATAATACCATGGGGACATGGTCAGAGTAGAGAAGGAACTTATAGAAGTTGTGAGATAACAAGGTGTAGAGCTGGATGAACACAGCAGGCCAAGCAGCATCAGAGGAGCAGAGAGGCTGATGTTTTGGGCCTAGACCCTTCTTCAGACCTGGACTGGTGCGCTGCTAACCATCTGAAGAAGGATATACTTTTAAACTGTAAATTGTTGCTGTAACGTAATAAACTTCATTTATTTATTCAACAAGATTCTTGTATTTAGACCAGGAAAAATGAATATCTTGATCACTTTGGGTTTGATTCAAACTACAATAACAGTGTTGTACAAACCGCTTTGATAAACCTGGTTGTGAAAAGTGCTACATAAACACAAGAATTAGCTTCTTTAATTCAGTGTTTTAAATTTTTTTCCTGTCACTTTAAGCTGCAGCTTTTTTTTTGCTTCTCACTTTCCTGAGTGATGTTCACTCTCTCTCCCTCTTCCTGTTTGTTCCTCTCTCACTCACTGCCTCCTCTCTCTGCAGATGAGAAGGAAGAGCCCAAGAATGAATGGTCAGAACCTGTGGTCAAACCTGGGCCTCCCAGAAAGGTGCCACCACCTGTAAAAGTGAAGCCAGTGTTGTCAAACCTGCTGAATAAGTAAGTGAAACAATACAGTGTTTACAGTGAGGCTGGTGCTGTTAGCACCATCTCCGTTTCTACTATGGGCTCAGTCACCTCTCTATACTTGATCAACACCATCTCTGGATAATGGATAATGCCATTTTGACCTTTTTTTTATAAAGCAAGTGGATAGAATCAGAATCATAGAATCCCTACAGTGTGGAAACAGGCCCTTTGGCCCAACAAGTCCACGCTGACCCTCAGAGCATCCCACCCAGACCATCCCCCATAACCCACCTAATCTACACATCCCTGAACACTACAGGCAATTTAAGAACATAAATCATAGAACAGTACAGCATAGTACAGGCCCTTCGGCCCACAATATTGTCCCGACCTATTATCCTACTGAGATCAATCTACCCTGCATTTTACTGTTCTCCATGTACCTATCCAAGAGTCACTTAAAAGTCTCTAAATTTAGCACGGCCATTTCACCTAACCTGCACATCTTTGGGAGGAAACAGGAGCGCGCAGACATGGGGAGAATGTGTAAACTCTACAAAGACAGTCGCCCGAGGTGGAATCGAACCCGGGTCCCTGGTGCTATGAGGCAACAGTGCTAACCACTGAGCCACCGTGCCGCCCATGGATAACTGGGCATTGTTAGACTTAATCTGAGAAACTCCAGGTCTCAGATCATATAACAGGACATCATAATTGAACATCAGGCACAAAATGAACATTCATATCTCAGACCAGCTACATTTTTTAGACGTTATCTTTAACCTTTCTCATGCAATATCTTGTTTTCGCACTCATCACCATGGTGAGTTCCTTAACTGCACTGTTTCTTCTTGCCTCGCTCCCTCCATGAGTGTCCCCATTGTCAGCAATATGACACCTCCATTGTGATCATCTATACCCAATGATTGCATTGGCACACCGTGATGCTGCTTTTTGCTTGAGATCTAAGTTTTTCATAGAATCCCTACAGTGTGGAAACAGGCCCTTTGGCCCAACAAGTCCACACCAACCCTCACAGCATCCCACCCAGACCCATCTTGCTATAACTCACCTAACCTACACATCCCTGAACACTACGGGCAATTTAGCATGGCCAATCCACCTAACCTGCACATCTTTGGACTGTGGGAGGAAACCAGAGCACCCGGAGGAAACCCACGCAGACACGGGGAGAATGTGCAAACTCCACACAGACAGTCGCCCGAGGGTGGAATTGAACCCGGGTCCCTGGTGCTGTGAGGCAGCAGTGCTAACCACTGAGCCACCTTGTTGGGGTTGTGTCTGAAATGGAACCTAGAAATCACAAAGGTTAAGAATCTGTGAGAGAACTGGGGTCCTTTGACACCAGCATAGAGTCATAGAGATGTCCAGCACAGAAACAGATCCTTTGGCCCAACCAGTCCATACCGACCAGATATTCTAAATAAATCTAGTCCCATTCGCCAGCATTTGGCCCATATCCCTCTAAACCCTTCCTATTGATATATCCATCCAGATCCCTTTTAAATGTAGGAGTAAGTTACTGCAGATGCTGGAATCTGTACTGAAAACAAAAAATGCTAGAAATCACAGCGGGTCAGGCAGTATCCATGGACAGAGATCAAATCAAATTAACATTTTGAGTCTAGATGACTGTTCATCAGAGCTGACGTGAAGTGTGGAGGGACAGCATTTATCCAGAAGTTTGGAGGGGAGAGTGCAGAGTGCTGGGGGAGAAATGCTGTTGATTGTGCAGACTAAGTGATTGGGATGTGAGAATGACAGAACAATGATGTGTGTAACTGCCAGACTGGAAAGAACAGATGGTGGAAAGAGAAGAGAGGACATGGTGACAGAGAATGTAACAAGTAAAGCTAAAAGAAAGGGAAGAAATGGGAGTGGGCTCACAATCTGATAATGTTGAATTCAATATTAAGTCCAATAGGTTGTAAAGTGCCTAGTCTGAAGGTGAGATGTTGTTCCTTCAGTTTGCACTGTGATTAACTGGAGCATAGCAGCATGCTGAGGACTGTGTTACAATGACCAGCTAAGGGGAGGTCAGGGTCCGGAGATGTTCTAGAAGGGTCACTCAGTCTGGGTAGAGTAGGCCACGTTGGGTTCATCGAATACGATAGACCAGATTGGAGGAGGTACAGGTGAAATGCTGCTTCAGCTGGAAAGTCTGTTTAAGCATGACCCTGACCTTCCCCTACCCTGGGGAAAAGACCTTGGCTATTCACTCTATCCATGCCCCTCATGATTTTATAAACTTCTACATGGTCACCCCTCAACAGCGACAGCAGCCCTCCAAGTAGAGAGCACATGCACCCAATGGAAGGGGTTCTAAACAGCAGCCATCCCCCATCCATAGACAGTCTCAGACAATCACTTCAATAAACCTGATGCCTGGTTGGATAGGTGACCTGGTTCCAACTTCTGTAAACTGATTCCAGTCTTAACCACACATGGCCAATGTACTGTACAAACACCTGATAAATTATACAGTGACTTCACAAACATGAACCTCAATATGTTGGCCTGGGAGTTACTCTTTATTCCAGCCAAATATGTTTGGAGTGATGCTTTTAATCCTTCTCACACTATGTCTGGTGACTGACTCCTATTTCTGAACAAATTCTGAATTTATTAGTCATCTTTTGCTTACTTCTTATTGCTGCTCCTCATCAAGCAGCTCAATAGGACCAATGCCTCCAGGCACATAGACCCCAAAAAGTGCCTAGTTGTCAGTATGGAAGTGGTGGATATGCTGAGCAATCATTTGTGTCAGTATTTGCAGAAGAGGAAGTGGTCAGCATGCCACGCACATAAGGAAACAAATTAATTAGGGCCAAGAGGTTGAAGATACAAGGGGTCTGAGTATTGCGGGCTATGGTACAATGAATGGCAGAATCAGACAGGAAGCCTGGTGAGGCTCATCTCGACGTTGGGATCACCTCACTCCATCTTTTTTGCCTTTCACAAGCAGTGTGGCAAGATTCTTGCGAGGCATTATCAAGATGTCAATTGACAGGGATTAATGCCTTGTTAAATGCTTTGTTAATACCGCAACTTGCCTCATCAATATTCAGGCTCCTATTTTACCAAAAGTAGAGGGAAAGCATGGTTAACATTTCGGGTCCAGTGCCCCTTCTTCAGAACTGCTGGTAGTCAGGAAAAGGTTGGTATTTATGTAGGAAATGGGGTGGGGAGAGAGGGTAAGGAGAAATGAGATAGAGCCCAAAAAGAGAGAAGAGCAATTGGATAGACAAAGGACTGGGTCGAGGTCAGCCTGGGAGAATGAATAGCTGTGTCATAGCAGACCACATGATGACAAGGCCTGGTGTGTGGGTTTGGGGTAAGGACATGGGAGAAGGTGCTTTGGCCTAAACTTGTTGCATTCAACATTTAAGTCCAGATGCTGTAGGGTCCCCCATCTTAGCATATATACTAACCTTCTTCCCGGCTAATATCAGTTCTGAAGAAGGGTCACTGGATCCGAAATGTTGGCTGTTCTTTCTGTCCAGAGATTACTGCCAGACCTGCTGCTTTCCAGCTTTGCAGTTCTTCAGGCTTTTGGTTCCCATTTTACCAAACTTGCCAATGAGCAGAAGTTGGGAAAACTAGACAAGGAAGCGGGTACCTGGTGGATTCAGCTCACTATTCGTTCTAATCGTCGTCTGTGTTGCATATAACCGTGTCCAGGACATGATTAATGAGTGCCACGTGCATGCATCTTTCCTCCACGGACATTGGCATCTAGCATCTGCTCCACCATGGCAACCATTCTGGGACGTCTACTGTTCACTGACAGTCTGCTCTGGAATTACAGACTGGCCTTGCAGGGGGCACCAGCAACCAGCGTTGAAAGGCTGGAGCAGGGACACAGGGCACGGGGATAGTATCCAGCTCAGAGATTAGAGCAGGCTGCATCTCAGTGATGCTTATGTGCTGTCTTAGCGCTCGCTCACTTAGCAGCTGCATGCTGACTGCATCCTTGCCTGTTATTGCAGTCGCGTGACCAGGCAGCAGGCCTTTGTGGCTTAGCAGGCCTCACTGTGGGACATCTAGCCTATGAGGTATTGATTTTGGTTAGACAGTGGTAATAGTCAGTGAGTTTCAACTGAGGAAATTGATTGGGTGAAGATCTTAACCCCACCCAGTTTGTTGGACTGCTTTTAACACCACCTTCCCACTGCATTATGAAAGTTCCCTTGTCAAGATACCTCACTAATTGTCTGTTGACCCAATTTATGCTATCACTTCAATGACCTCCCCAAATAATTTATTCCAGACAAGTACATTTAATGACAGTAAGTTTTACCTAAAGTAATCCTTTTAACAAGTTAAAACACAGTTACATTACAGTGCTGTGTCATGGCAAGGTGGCTCAGTCGTTAGCACTGCTGCCTCACAGTGCCTGGGACCTGGGTTTGATTCCAGCCTTGGGCGACTGTGTGGAGTTTGCACCTTCTCCCCGTGTCTGTGTGGGTTTCCTCTGGGTGCTCCGGTTTCCTCCCACAGTCCAAAGATGTGCAGGGTAGGTGGATTGGCCATGCTAAATTTCCCATAGTGCCCAGGGATGTTTGGGTTAGACACAGGAAATGTAGGGGTATGGTTCTGGGTGGGCTGCTTTTTGTAGGGGCAGTGTGGATTTGTTGGGCTGAATGGCCTGTTTCCACACTGTAGGGATTCTATGATTCCAACCAGACCCAGCATATAACAGCTGTTCAAATAGGGCATTGTGACACAGGGCTAGTGTCTCTAAACTCAAGTCCTACCTGCCCTGGGGGTGTGTCATTGTGTATCTGAGCAGGTTGATTGAAGTAGCTATGAGACCTGGTCACCCAGAATCAGCTGTGCATGCACCAATTCTGCTAAATTGAAAAATGGCAGATGGAGTTCAATCTAGATAAATGCAAGGTATTGTATTTTGGTACAACAAGCGGGGCAGAACTTGTACAATTAATGGGAAGGCCTTGGGTAGTGTAGTAGAACAGAGGGACATAGGGTTTCAGGTATAAAATTCTTTGCAGTTTGCATCACATATAGACAGGGTGGTTAAGAATGCGTTTAGCATGCTTACCTTCATTGCTCTGTCTTTCGAGTACAGGAGTTGGGACGTCATGTTGAGGTTGTATAGGACATTGGTGAAGCCTCTTCTGGAATACTGTGTCCAGTTCTGGTCACCCAGTTATTGGAATGATAGTTTTAAACTGGAGAGGGTTCAGGAGGGATTTACCAGGATGTTGCTGGGTATGGAAGGTTTGAGTTATAAAGAAAGGCTGGATAGGCTGGGACTTTCTTCACTGGAATGTAGGAGGTTGACAGGTAACCTTATAGATGTTCATAAAATCATTAGGGATATAGATAAGGTTATTAGTAGGTGTCTTTTCCCTAGGATAGGGGGATTTTGAAACTAGTGGACATTGTTTTAAGGTGAAAAGAGAGAGATTTAAAAAAGACATGAAAGGCAAATTTTTTACATCGCGAGTGGTTCATGTGTGGAATGAACTTCCTGAGGAAGTGGTGGATGCTGGTACAGTTACAACGTTTAAAAAAGACACTTAGATAGATACATGAATAGGAAAGGTTTGGAGGGATATGGGCCAGGAGCAGTATTTCTCCCAGCTCTACAATCCTTGGAAACGCCAGACCTGATCTCATCGTAACTTAATCCACTCTAACATCAGTACCAGGCTTTCAGCTTCTTCAAGAAATTTCAAAAATACTGCCTTAATTTAGCTTTTTGTCTCTGGTTCTAACATTCTTTTATATTGCTCAATGCCAGTTTTTTTTTTCTGATTACAATTCTTTGAAGCTCCATGGGATGTTTCACTTTGTTAAGGCTGCTATCTAAATGCAAGTTGTTGCCTTCTTAGTTAGACTGTGCTGCACAGGTGTGTTGCAGATGCAGTTTGTTATAAAATATGAGAAATAATAATGTATCTTAAATGGTAAGTTAGCAGGTGGATTAGAGAAGAAAGGAACTGTAGAACTTAGAACTGTACAGAATAGAAACCAAAAGAACTTGGGATGCTGTAAATCAGGAACAAAAACAGAAGTTGCTGGAAAAGCTCAGCAGGTCCGGCAGCATCTGTGAAGAAAAAATCAGAGTTAACGTTTTGGGTCCGGTGACCCTTCTGAAGAGGTGCTAAGCTTTTCCAGCAACTTGTGTTTTTGTTCATAGAACTGTACAGCACAGGAACAGGCCCTTTGGCCCACAAATCAAAATCTGCTGATCCACAGAACTTTAGAATTGTCAAAAAAAACACAAACACAGAAAACAAAAGCCAGACTTCAATTCAAAACTTCTGCGAAACCTTCGTTCAGCTGCATTTGGAGTGCTGCATGTCCGTTAGTGTGCAGCACAGATTCACAGTGGATACATGCGATGTGGGCGTCACTGACTGGGCCAGCATTTCTTGCCCATCCCTAATTGCCCTTGAGAAGTGGTGCTGAACTGTCTTCTTGAACCGCTGCAGTCCTTTTGGTGTAGGTAGATCATACTGCTGTAAGGGAGGGAGTTCCAGGATTTTGACCCAGTGACAGTGAAGGAAAAGCAATATATTTCTAAGTCAGGATAGTGAGTGGCTTGGAGGAGAACTTGAGGACAGTGGTTTTCCCATCTATATGCTGCCTTTTAACTTCGAGTTGATCATGACTATGGGTTTGGAAGCTGTTATCTAAGGAGCCTTGGTGAGTTTTTCCAGTGCATCTTATAGACAGGACTCACTGCTGCTACTGAGCGTCGGTGGTGGAGGGAGTGGATGCTTGTGGATGTAGTGCTAATCAAGAGGGCAGCTTTGTCCTGGATGGTGTCAATCTTCTTGAGTGTTGTTGGGGCTGCAGTCATCCAGGCAAGTGGGGAGTATTCCATCACACTCCTGACTTGTGCCTTGTAGATGATGGACAGGCTTTGAGGGGTCAGCAAGTGAGTTACTTGCCACAGTATTCCCAGCCTCTGACCTGCTCTTGTAGCCACTGTGTTTATGCGGTGAGTCCAGTTGAGTGTCTGGTCAATGATAATCCCCAGGATGTTGATAGGGGCGAATTCAATGATGGTTATAATGTCAAAGGACAATGGTTTGATTCTCTCTTGTTGGAGATGGTCATTGCCTGGCCCTTATATCACGCGAATGTCACTTGCCACTTGTCAGTCCAAGCCTGGATAATATCCAGGTCTTGTTGCATTTGGATATGAACTGCTTCAATATCTGAGGAGTCACAAATGGTGCTGAGCAATGTGCAATCATCAACAAATGTCCCCATTTCTGACTTTACGGTGGAGGCAAGGTCATTGATGAAGCAGCTGAAGATGGTTGGGCCTAGGACACTACCCTGAGGAACTCCTGCAGAGATGTTCTGGTGAGATGGCTGATCTCTAACAGCCACAGCCATCTTCCCTGTGCCAGGTATGACTCCAACCTCTGGAGAGGTTTCCCACAGTGACTTAGAGCTGACTGTGTGACATCCCTCCGTTGGGTATATTAGTGATCACATGAAGCGCAAACAATGTCAAAGACAAGACAAGGGAGAGAAAGTCACACAAAAGGATGTTCAAAATTAACGGCAGATTTATATAATAATACTTTATTTTACCTTGTAAAAAACGCAGAGGCAACGAGATGTTGAACAGATGATGATTACAAATGCTGTCATTACAGAGTTAATGGAGAACATGCTCTCCCTCAACAAGACCGGAATAAACCAGCCAGAGACAGGGGCACTGATTCAGGTAAGATTGTCTATAGCAGAATAACATTACACCTAACTGAACCCATAGTACAGGGTGGAATTGGAGCACCGCTTACTGTTAAACCCAATCAAACTGCCCCATCGAACACTACCAAACACAACTCAAGGAATCTTTGCCAGAACGGGGTAGAGAGGCCTTCGCTCTGAATCAAACTTATATTGGATCTGACCTGCTATCCTGTGATGGTTTATACATACAGGGTAAAGTAAGGAGATGCAGTGGGTGAGATAAGTGGGTAAGGGGCATGAGGTGGGTGAGGTAAATGGGTAAGGGGCATGAGGTGGGTGAGGTAAATGGGTAAGGGAGTCAGATGGGTGAAGTAATCGGGTGAGGGTGTAGCTTGATGACATAAATGGGTAAGGGTGTAGAGTGGGTCAGCTGTTAGGGTGGCATTTGGGTGAAGTGGGTAAGTGAGGGAGTCCTCAGGTCTGGTAGAGAGGTGTGGTTGAGAAGTGTTGGATAGTAAGGTCTGGTCTGGTCATGTTGAAGAGTAAGGGGAGTCAGTCAGGACAGTAATTAGAGTCTTATAGGGCTAGTTAGGGAGAGTGAGTGGTGGGTGGTGCTGAGGGGGAAGTTGGAATAATCAGTTGTATCATTACATAGGAATTAGACCTAGCTTTATTTAATCTGCCTAATACCCCATGGGAAATTATCCAGGTAAGGAAGTCTGTACACTCTGAGGTTACTGGATCTAATTGGGAGTTAGAGATTTTCGCTGGGAGCAGCTGGATCAGCAATCAGTAATGAGCCTGGGTAATTCCTGCTGAGCTGTTTTGTTGGGACTTCTGCAGGTCCCACCATGTAGGAATTGGGATTGGAAACGCTGCACTTAGCTACATAACAGAAAATAAATAACTTCCCTCTGACATCTAGTGAGGGTCACAAGATTGGGTCTTTGTATGTCTGAACAGGTCAAAGATCTTTGGTTGCATGGAGCAGGCCATCCCATTGAGGTAGTGAGATCCAGAGTGAAGGTTCTTTCTTCCCCTTTCTCCCAATGTTCTACCTGTTCACTAAAACATTGTGACTCAAAGCATGATGCCACTTTACAGGCAAGTCGTCACCAATTTGAACAAGTTCCTTTCAGTTAATATTCTGACCAGAGTATGTACTCAGTAAATCATGAGGATCTGTGCATTGTGCTCCAAGGATTTGAATGTTCTAGAAACTTCATCAAAATCATAATCACAATCCCCACATGAGGCCACGGGAAAATTGTACTATCTCCTATAGAAAGATGGAAACTAGGAGCAGGATTAGGCCATTTGGCTCTTTGAGCCTGCTGTACTATTCATCATGATCATGGCTGATCATCCAACTCAATCCCCTGTTCCCAATCATTATCTTGTGATGTTGCAGTGTTTTGGAAGTCCTAAAACATTGGCTCTTTTGAGAGGTTATGATCATTGAGTGTGTTTGTGTGCGTGTGCATGTGAGCGTGTGTGTGTGTGTGCGTGTTTGTGTGCGTGTGTGTGTGTGCGTGTGCGTGTGTGTTTGTGTGCATGTGCGTGTGTGTTTGTGTGCAAGTGCGTGTGTGCGTGTGTGTTTGTGTGCAAGTGCATGTGTGTTTGTGTGCAAGTGCGTGTGTGTTTGTGTGCAAGTGCATGTGTGTTTGTGTGCATGTGCGTGTGTGTGCATGTGCATGTGCGTGTGTGTGTGTGCGTGTGCGTGTGTGTTTGTGTGCATGTGTGTGTGTATGCGTGCGCATGTGTGAGTGAGTGTCTGTGCGTGTGTGTGTGTGCATATGTGTGTTTTGCTAGGGCTCCTTGATGTCACACTCAGTCAAATGTGGCCTTGATGTCAAGGGCAATCACTCTCACTCACCTCTGCAGTTTAGCTGCTTTGTCCATGTTTGAACCAAGGCTGTAATAAGGTCAGGAGCTGAGTGTTTTTGGCGGAACCCAAACAAGCAGATTATCGCTAAGTAAATGCTGATTGATAGCACTGTCGACAAAGCTTTACATCGTTTGCATTTCGGAATGTGAAAAGGTGCACACATCAGGCTTTCCCAAGCTTACATAAACATCCGGCCCATTCAGTTGCCTTACAGCTGTGGCCTTGGCCATAGATATTTATTCAGAAGTGTTCCATACTTGGACATCTCCTTCTGAGTCGTCAGGCATTTCTTAAGGTATTCCAGCTTTGCCAACATCAAGCCTCATGGGCAAGATCTTCAGTTCTGTGTCAAATGAATGAAGACACACGCCCAGAAATTTGAGACCATAATCTAGGCAGACAGTCCTGTGCAGTACTGTACTGAAGAAGCGCTGCACTGGCAGAGGTGAGACAATAAAATGAGAATCTGCTCTCCCCTTCAGGCAGACACAAAAGGGTCTATGCTGCTATTTGGAAGGGAATCAGGCAAAATTTCTCCTGTGTTCTGGATTACATTTATCCCTTAATTAACATCACCAAAATAATTGATCCAATCTCATTGCTGTGTGCTGTGCACAGATTGTTTGCTCCATCTCCGACATTACAACACTTTGAAAGTGTTTCATTTGCTGTGAAGTACTTTAGAAAATCCTGAAGTTATAAAGGTGCTATCAGAGTCAAAGCTTTGTTTTGAAAGTTAGAATGTGCTCTGTTTGCAGCGAGGAATGCTCCTGAATTGGCATTTCGACTGATACAGTGATGGGAACGGAAAGGACGGAAGTTCTGTAGCAGCTTTTATATTGAGCATTTCCCTGTTATGGGTTCAGCCTAAAACCACTTCTCTGTATCGCTGTAAACTGAGCATCAGCAATCACATGCTAAAAGTGATTCAGTGCTGGCAGTCTCACTGTGAGTCATCAGGCAGTCAAGTTAAGGCTGGCCTGGAGCAGAAGCACGAAATCTAGACTGACACTTCAAGATGGTACTGAGGGAGAGTTGCTGTGTCATTGGTGTGATTGTTTAGCTGAGACACTAAACTAATGACCTCTCCAGTCCCAGAAGAAGAGTGGTGTCATGTAGTGTTTTACTAATATTTAGTAGCGGCGAGAGATGGCACCTGAGGATTGGCGACTCTATTGTTGGTTGGGTCCGGTGCTGATGGGAGCAGCAAAGTGGTGGCAGAAGAGCATCACAGCAACATCGAGGTGGGCCCAGCAGCAAGAAATGTAACTCTGACATTGGTGGGTCCTGCACAGGGAGGGGCAGAGGAGAATCAACCCTACGTGAGAGATGGCGACTTCAGCGTTTGCTGGTTCCAGGGTAGATGGTGGTGGGACCATGGCGGAGGATGCATGGCAGTGAAGGCAACCTGACTGATGGACTGTTTTAAGCTGTATCTTTTTCTTTTTTTCTTATTCTTAAAACTATACAAAATGGCACCGGATCACAGCAACACTGGAAAAGCTAATCACTGTATTTTACTGTATTTCTCACTGTAAAATACACATGACAATGAAATCATTCACTCATTCATTCATTAATGACACTGGGTGAATAGCCCAAAGGCCCGGGTTAATTCTCTGGTGGGAGGGGGTTCGCTGGTTCATCTCGCTCTGCGACCGCTGGTGGAATTGAAATTGATAACCCAATTCTGGAATTGAGCTTGTCTTCAGTAGTGATATGTGGTTCTCTTGTTCTTTAGGGAGGATAGACTGGCACCCTCACCTGGTCTGGTCTGTACGTGACTCCAGGCCCACTGCAATATGGTTGCCAGTTAACTGCCCTCTGAGATGGCCAAGCATGCCACACATTTGGAGATGGGCAAGAAGTGCTCACATACCATGAAAGAATAAAGAAATAAAATGTGACAGCTCCTGACCAAGAGGTTCTGTAGCTATATTAAGAGTAAAAGGGTGGCTAAGGAGAGAATAGGTCCCCTCAAAGATCAGCACGGCCATCTATGTGTGGAGCCACAGGAGATGGGGGAGATTTTTAATGAATATTTTGGATGAATTAGAATCATGCTAAGGAAATAAGGGAAACAAGTAGGGACGTTTTGAACTGGATACATATTACCAGAGAGGAGGTGGTTGCAGCCTTAAAGCAAGTGGATAAATCCCCTGAGCCTGATCAAGTCCATCTTAGACATTGTGGGAGGCTGAGGAAGAAATTGCAGAAGCCCTTGCAGAGATTTTTGCTTCATTTTTAGCCACTGGTGAAGTTCCGGAAGACTGGAGGGTTGCTAATGTTGTTCTATTGTTTAAGAAAGGTAGCAAAGACAAGCCAGGGAACTATAGGCCAGTGAGCCTGACATCAGTGGTAGGCATGTTATTGGAGAGGATACTGTGGGACAGAATCAACTAACATTTGGATAATCAAGGTCTGATTAGGGATAGTCAGCATGGATTTGTGCACAGGAAGTCATGTCTGACAAATCTTTTAGAGTTTTTCGAAGAGGTAACCAAGAGGATAGACAAGAGTAGGATAGTGAATGTTGTCTATATGGACTTTAGTAAGGCCTTTGACAAGGTCCCGCAGACCAGGCTTGCCATGAAGGTTAGGTCGCATGGGATCCAGGGAGAGCTAGCTAATTGGATTCACAATTGGCTCAAAGGTAGAAAGCAGAGGGAGATGTTTGAAGGCTGTTTCTCGGACTGGAGGCCTGTGACTAGTGGTGTGCCACAAGGGTCAGTGCTGGGACCTTTGTCCTCAGTATCCAAGGGCCCAAGCAACACTTCACCTGCATTTCCTAAAATCTAATCTACTGCATTCGCTGCTCACAATGTGGTCTCCCTCTACACTGGGGAAATGAAGCATAGGCTGAGTGACTGCTTCGCAGAATGTTCTGCTCGCAAAAAAGACCCTGAGCTACCAGTTGCCTGCCAGTTTAACACAACACCCTGTTCCCTGACCAATATCTCTGTCTCTGGCTTGCTGCAGTGCTCCAGCAAAGCTCAGCACAAGCTGGAAGAACAACACGTCATTTTCCACTTGGGGACCCTTCTAGCCCAGAAGCAGGGACACTATCACTGCACCACAAGAACCCTTTAAACATGGCCTGCAGATATTTTCTAACTAACCTGTTCAGAGGTATGTCTGAAACATCGAGTTAAGTGGATGGCAGATTTTAATGGATCATCTGACTCTGAAATCAGGTGACCACTTAGACATGGAGAAAGGGACTGTGCTCCCAGTTTCCACCTGACGCTGGATAATATTAAACTGGGGTGAATTAAAACCCATTCTCTGACCCCAGAAGACTCTGAGTTAATGACACTTTGTTTCTGTTCCCTCCCCTCAGATTCGATGACCTTCGACATGCTCGCTGCATCCACAGAGAAGCTGACGCACCTGACAATGGACAGGCCCAAAGCCAAGGGGCGTAGACCACCCTCTCAGTTAGTGGCTTCACCTATCGTGAGTCTTTCATTTGCCTCTTGCACCTGAACAGCTCTCGTCACTTGCATGAGGGAAAAATCCCAAATCTCAAAGCAAATTTTAGGAGGGAAAGCAATAAAGACACAGTGGATCCCAAAGGGAAAGGTGCCTTAAAATAATAGGACTTTACCAGATACATGAAAATCCTTCTGTCTTCTTCCAGTCTCAGGGTAGATCTCCTGTAACATTGTTCTGTATAAAGAGCTCACACTGTCACGAGATACAATGGAACTTATGGCCAGGGTTCTGCCCAGCCTCTGTTTACGCAGAGAATTTCCATTCTCACTAACTGCAAGGACACGGGTACACAACAATAAAGAAGTCTTGCTATAAGTGTAAAGGACTTTGCTGAGACCACACTCGCAATACTATGTGCAGTTTTGGTCTCAACATCTAAGGAAGGATGCATTTACCTTGGAGGTAATAGGAGATAAGGTAAGGGCATGTTCAGTTAAGACAGAGATGAGGAGAAATTTCTTCACTTAAAGGATCGTGAATCTTTGGAACTCTCTACCATAGAGGGTTACGGATGCTCCATTGTTGAATATATTTCAGGCTAGGATGGACTTGGTCTCTTGGGGAATCCAGGAACATGGGGCAGTGAAGTTGAATTGATGAGAAAGATTATTCATGATATTATTGAAAAGAGAGACATATTGCTGAAATTGTTTATCTCGCAGTCACCAGGGCAAATGCCAAACTTCACACAGTCAGTGCAACCTAAATGATAGGAGGAAATGTTGCTGATTGGTTAGTAAGTCAACTCTGACTAATGTAGATGATGCTGTGAAGAAAACATTAGGGAACTGTAGTCTCCTGCGCTACTGGATATTTCATATAAAAGGCTCAAGACACACACATATTCCTTTAGTTTGTAGACAGTGGGTCATTGTGTATGAATGTATACCACTTCTAACAAACCATGTTATGAGCCAAATTGATTATCTGATTGAAGCTTACATTTTCACCAGGCCGTGGAGGGTCTAGAACCAGGAAACAGTCTTGAAATAAGGTAGGCCATTTAGGATAGAAATGAGGAGGAATTTCTTCACTCAGACGGTGGCGAATCTTTGGATTTCTATACTCCTGTACCACATTCTGAGTTTTAATTCTTCACTGCCTAATTTGATTATCGATGTATCAGATGTGGGCATGTTACAAATTTGATTCTTAGGCAGTTGGTAGGTCGTAATCTGAGGTACATTCTGCACATCACATTCAACAAACTTTATATTAACCTGATTCAAATCATTAAGGATTGAAACTTGGGGCAAGAGATTGCACAATAAATGACAGGAACCCAGAAAGTATTTGAGATCAAAGGGATGTCAATGTGCACTTCCACAAGAAACTATGGAGCATTGTGAACACAGGCCAGTCCATCACGCAAACCAGCCTCCCATCCATTGGCTACATTTATATTTCCCACCACCTCAGGAAAGCACCAACATAATCAAAGACCCCTCCCACCCCAGTTATACTCTCTTCTGCTCTTGGGCAGAAGATACAAAAGTTTGTATACACATAAAAACAGTTTCAAGAATAGCTTCTTCCCCACTGTTGTCAGACTTTTGAACAGATGTCTCAAATGTTAATGTTGGTCTCTCTCTCTCTCTGCACCTTCTCTGCGGCTGTAACACTGTGTTCTGCACTCTGTTCTGTTACCCTGATGCACTTTGTATGGTACAATCTGTTTGCATGGCACGCAAAACAACACTTTTCGCTGAATCTTGGTACACATGACAACAATCAATCAATTGATCGAATTAATCAATCAGTCAGATCCCTGAAGGCAACAGGGCAGGTAGATAAGATGGTTAAGAAGACATGTGGGATACTTGTACCTTATTAGCCAAGACTTAGAACACAGAGCAAAGAGGTTATGCTGGATCTGTGTGAAATATTGGTTCGGCCAGAACTGGACAGCTGCATTTAGTTCTGATCACCACAATATAGGAAGGATGTAATTACCTTGGAAAGGATGTAATGGTTTACCAGGATGATGCCTGGACCGGAGGTTCTAAGCTATGAGGAAAGATTGGATAGACTGGGATTATTTTCCTTGGAGCAGCAAAGATCGAGAGGGAACCTGATGGAGGTGTGTAGGATTATGAGGGAGATGGATGGGGGATAGGAAGGCACTGCGTGTAAGCAAGGTCCCACCTGTCTGGTCCTGCTCTGAGAAAGCCTCTCGAAGCATGACTTTTGATTGATTTCTCTTTGTTTCTTCAACCGCCTGTAGCGGGATGTCAAAAGGCCAGCGCAGCTCGCAACAGCAGCTAAGGTCACTACTGGGATCACCCAGCAGTCAGAGCAGCCCCCACCGAAAACACACTGGGCAACACCTGGCAAACCAGCAATAGGCTCGACAAATTCAGCAAGCAAACCTCAGAGAGAGGTGGAGAGTGAGGACAAGGCAACTACACTCATAGCATTGAGAGCAGAGGTCCGAAGTCTCCAGCTGAGCTTCGATCTACTGAAGAACCAACATTTGTAAGTAACGTTCTATTCAGAAATGTTCTCAGACTTCATTACATCTAACAGGGGGCAGCTCAGCACCATCAAACTGCAGAGAGAGATCACCACCAAACTGGGGTCAGGGGAGAGAGGGAACACCATCAAACCAGGGACAGGAGAGAGCATCATTAATTTGGAATGTGGAGGATAAGAAATGGAGATAGTGGGAACTGCCGATGCTGGAGAATCTGAGAAAACAAGGTGTAGAGCTGGAGGAACACAGAGGAGCAGGAAAGCTGACGTTTCGCATCTAGACCTTCTGAAGAAGGATCTAGACCTGAAACGTCAGCTTTCCTGCTCCTCTGATGCTGCTTGGCCTGCTGTGTTCATCCAGCTCTACACCTTGTTATCTCATGGTAAGAAATGGAGACATGGAGCTGATGGAAATGGAAATGGGGAATTGCTGACAGAGTGGAGAACAGAGTGTGACCCTAGTGTCTCAACAAGTATAAAACCGATCGATATGATACTGCTTGGTGTCGTACTGCCCAGTGTGATACTGCCCAGTCTGGTATTGTGTAGCGTGGTCTTGCTCAGTGTAGTGCTGCCCAGTCTGGCACTGCCTGGTCTGGCACTGCCTGGTCTGGCATTGCCCAGTGATGTACTGACTGGTGTGGTAGTAAATCTGTGCTGAGTGCTCTCACTTCATTGAAGTAGCTGTCATTTCTCAGAGCGCTGGTGTTTGATTGCTGTGCAGTGATCACGGGTGGTTAGTTCAGACATTGAGCTGGTGAAGGGTGGGCTCAGCCAGGGATATCACCCATAACCGTCTGGCCACTGTTTGTGAGGATAGCCTCGGGCAGCTGCCAATCCACACTGGTGTAGTGACCAGCACCATCACAGGGACAGCAATTGGACAGAGAGAATTAAGGAAGCATTTGTGTTTTGTCAGTTGCACATTTACTTCTGTTTGTTTTTATCTGTCAGAGTTGGAATGTGCTTAATGAGACTTTTGGGTTTTTCTTTTTATGATCACAGGAGAGATATAGCAGCTTTAAAAGAAGAGATAGCAGAAGAGCGGAACAAACGAAACACACTGCAGGTAAACATCCTGCTAGAAGGCGTGTCTCTGAATTATGATAAGATATGGTTAAATTAATAGAGAGAAATGATTCTAATGGGAGAGTCCAGGACAGGTGAGCACTGAATTCAATTCGGGGTCAATGACAAGCAGGACTTCCTGACACAAAAGGCAGTGAAAATCTGGAACTCTCTGTCAAACAGCTGATGAAGCTGGGGATCAGTCCAAAGTGATAAGGGAATTGAAGTGTGGAACAAGAAGGAGTAGCAGGGAGGAGGCCATTCAGCCCTCAAGCCTGCCCCATTAGTCAAGAAGATCATGGCTGATCCAATTGTGGCCTTAACCACACTTCCTTGCCTGGCCCTAACAACTTGTGATTTGTTTGGAGTTCATTAACTTGAATTTTATTCGATGAGCGAGCCTTCATTGCCTTCTTGGCTTGAGATTTTCAAAGATTAGGAACTGTCTGAAAGAAGAAATTGTTCCTCATATCCACCTGAAATGAGAGAGCTTTTACTTTGAAACTCTGTTGCCTAGAATCCCCAGTAATAGGAAGGACCATCCTCTCTGTGCCCACTCTGTTGAGCCGCCTCAGAGTCTTCTTTATGTTTCTATAAGGTCTCCTCTCATTCTTCGAAACTCCAATGAGTATCAGGCACAAGCTGCACAAACCTTTCTTCTCCAGACCACACGTTCATCGCAGGAATTAACCAAGTGAACTTTCTCTGAACTGCTCCCAGTGCAAACATATCCCTTCTTGAGATATCAGGCCAAAACTATATACAGTGGTCTCACCTACATTCAGTAAAGATGTAGCAAAATTTCACTACTTTTATACTTCACCCCTTCGCAATAAAGGCCACCATCCATTTGCCTTCCTAATTTCTTGCTGTACCTGCAAACTAACTTGTGATCCACATACACTCAGACAGGCCCTTCTGTACCACAGCATTCTGCAGTCCCTCACCATTTAAATAATAGTCTGCTGAGTGGTGTCCCTGTTCCTATTTTCATACAAGTAGTCAGAATCAGTTCACAAAATAATTTGTCAGAATTTATTTTTCTGTGGACTGAATGTGACTCTCCTTCCTTTGGAAGCTTGACTTCATTGGTTGTTCCCTGCTTGGTATGGTAAACCCTTACCCACCCTATCCTGGCTGTCCCACTCTCTCACTAATGCTACAAGGTCCATGACAGACTTGGTGACATTGCTTGTCTGTGCTGTCACCTGCTGGTGAGTTTGAGCAGTGCACATTTCAGGGGCACCTTTGGTTGAAGCGGAGTTGTCTGGGTGACCCAAGTAGAATTCCTTGGGAAGTCCACTATCTGCGTTCCAGCTTGCAAACACAGTCTGAAAGGTGAGCCCAGGAACATCTCTCTCCCTGGCAGCTCACTGGAGAACCTTTTGAGAGTTTCAGGCTGCAAGAAAATATACAGTTCAAAATGGTCAGAAATCCTGTACCACTGGAGTTTTGTTAGCAAGTATAAAAGATTAGTTCAGCATGTTATCCTGGTACTAGTCATTTCCAAGTTTTCTTGGTTTTCCCTCTTAACCTGCATTGCTGTTTGAGCCATAGTTTCATCTAAACAGAGACAGAAGTCCATTTAACACCCCCACTCCCTAAGATAGTGTCAGCAAGCCCTCCTTCAGCAAGTGTTAAACTCAGACGCATTCAACCTGAGGGTACAGCAATGCAGTGGTTATGTTTGTAGATTAGTAATCCATCGAAAGCAAGTTCAAATCTCATGGTAACTTGAGAATGTGAATTGTAAAGATATTTGGCAAATTAGAATGCTGGTGTCAGTAAAACGAACATGTCAGGTTGTTCATTAATGTCCAGTGGGGAAGTTGTCCTTCTTTGACCTGTATTTGACTTTAGTCCGACATTAACAGTGTTACTTCTTCTGCCACATCCCTACCAAACTGTCATATCAAACTGGGCAACCGGTGACAGACAATAAATGCCATCAATGCCCACATCCTAAAAGTATCTCATTTCCTTCTGACCTGCCACCGTTGGCTGAGCCAAATCTGAACGTTTCTAGTGTTGAGGTGTCACCTTTTGAAGGGATTGTGAATTCATTTCAAACTGATGAACGCTCTGTTGGTTATACTCGCAGTGCCATTGTAGAGCCTGCAAGTGGCACTGCTGAGCAGTGCCTGCTACAGACTGGACAAACCCAGCAACAATGTCTGTATGTCTCTCTGGGGGCGCTAGTGAGATGACTATCAAAGGGGGACATTCATTACCGCTAATGGAGAGAGGGGCTGATGGAGAAGGTCTAGAACCTGTAGATACTCTGATACCAAGAATTATTGCAATCCAACAACAGTAAATGAAAAGTATGTTTTTGATCTGATTTGGTGCATTAAAATATTTTGTTTTGTTTCAGGCGGAGGTTGAAAAACTGAGAGGATTCACAACAACTCTACAAAAGCACTGAGTTCAAACCTTGTCCCCACCCCTGATTCCTGGCCCCAGCCTGTTACCCACCCTCTGTGAAGATAAAATTCAAGTGGACAACGTCCTGGTCTCAGAGAGTTTGGAGTTTGACAAATGTAAAGCCTATTCGGGCAATGTAGGATTGCTAAGGAGTTTGCTCCGTGTATGTCATACCTCGTGGTGGTGGAGGCCTACGCATTCTTAGTGTCAAAAAACATCAAGACACAGAGCCAGACAGGAAACCACCAGTTTGGAAAAATGAACTTGAATAGGCTTCTATTTGTTTAGCACTTTGCATGTCCTCAAGACATTATCGAGCACTTTCCAACTTACGTCTGAGGTAAATGCAAGAGGTAACTGGGTGAAAAATCTTGCATGGGCTTCCCTCACCCCCGCTTTGTTAGAGTGGCAGATTCCACCTTGTCAACCAAACAAACGTGTGTAGGCCAACTCTCTTTCTATCTCTCAACAATCTTCAAACTCCAGTCAGATGTTTGGATTGACCAGTGTACAGCACAGTGTGAGTTTACACTTGGGCACCACAGCCTGGTGGCACAGTGTGGTACCTACAGGATGGTCAAAAGCCAGGAGTTGATGTCTACCAAGCTTTCTGACTGTCAGCTCCCATCAGATTGGGATGCAATATGAAATAGATCCATCTTACCTCCTGAGCACAATCCTTTTAAGGAGAGGGCTGTCCTGTGTCAAATTTCGAGCGGCTAGCTGACAATATGGCGTCTTTTCAACATTCAACAATTTTCATCCATTCTGTAACCAAAATATTTGTAATTCAAAAGGAACGAGCTACTTTGTGTGGGCTGCTAATTCAAATCCGGTTTTCTTCTGTGTGCATTGCCAGTGCCAATTAATGCCTTTTAGAAACCTCGTTACATTAAACAGAATGTGAGACTCAGAGGAAGGTGGAGAGTCAGAGGCACACAGATACAGTGAGATAGAGGGAATCAGTAAGAAACACACAGTCTCAGAAACACAGCAAAAGAATAAAAGCTACAGGAACACAAGGGGTAGGTTCCACTGATAGGGGAGAGGTGCCATGTTCAGCACCAGGAAAGTCCCATTCAATCCCAGCCCAGTTGTGGGAGCTGACCCTACACTTTGGCAGCCACCCGGCCATTGCAATTGGTTTAACAAGCATCAGGACTTGAGACTCCTGCTTCTAATTCTTGTTCAAATATTCCAGCAGCTGCTGAGTGATGCACGTCACAGTCAAATAGTTTCTTCTGAGGGCGTGACGAATGCATCCTCTTGATGCCAGTGAGCTCTTTCTTAAATATGCAGAATGGGATCCAATTATATCAACTTTAAGCGTGGCCTGAGTAGGCAAGAGCGTATGATGATTACCCCCAGGGAAGGGGAACAAGAGAAAGGACCAAAAATGGTGGACCTGATTTATTAATTTACCTAAGATAACAAGGTGTGGAGCTGGATGAACACAGCAGGCCAAGCAGCACCAGAGGAGCAGGAAAGCTGATGT